TCTGTGCAGCTGTGCCGAATGAAGGGGAATCAGATTCCACGAAGCAGTGATTTAGGTTTTTTCTTTTATGATTTCGAATACCCATGAATTCGATCAAATTTATTTTATTTTCTATAACTGACTTAAATAAATAAAAATACTTAATCTGTTTTTACATATCAAAACAAGTAAAATGATTTCGAATACCCATGCACACACGCAGCTATTTCACCCAGCTCGTCATTTTATTGGGTATCATGCCCTCCTGGTGTTTATTAATGAATCCTAGGCTTTTCCAGAAAAACAGTAGCCGAGCAATCTGGGACCTTCACCCTTCTCTATATTGTGGTGGAACTCATGATTTGCACATCCTGTGCTTGCGTCAATGTTATAAAACTTGTATACGCTACCGATTGCTTTCTTAAGCAGCCATGGAGATTGAAGGCAGGTCACCTAATTAATGACTCTTTAGCTGTGTTAAAACACGTCGCCTTTTAAAGATTAATTTGTAAGAGACAGTGTAACTGCTATGGCTCGGATGGCATGGTAAATGGTTCTTAAACATACTTGACATAAAAGGAAAATCAGCAGCTGAAATACAGGTAAAAGTCAACAAATCCAAGATAAGTGAAGGCTTTTACGAAGCAAAAGGCCCTGTACACACAATAGAACACCAACTCAGTTACACACTTTCATTGAGATATTTTGAAGGCCAAACCAGATCCAACCAACCTTTCTTCTGCAGTCTTCCGGAAGTTTTCAGCCATTTGAGGACTGAGATAATTGCTCCAATGCCCCACTTCTTCGCTCCTGAAAAAGACACTATTTGGAACTCCATTCGGACGAACACCATTTTTGTTCACCTTCAAGTCCTTGAGGTTGTCAAAGCTACACAAGCTTAATATTTCTTCTAGGACCCTCTCTTTCTCTTCATTTTCTGAGAAAGGAAATCCCAAGAACTCAGCCAGCTTCTTCAAGTTAGAAATCGTATTATCCTTCAAATCTTCATATCTCAAAAACAGCACCTTCTCTGGTCTTTCCAAGCTTTCTTTCCAGTATCCTAATGAACTATCCCAAAATGGCCCATAATTCTGGACACCACGACAAATTTTCTCAAAATGTTCTTCAATTGAAGAACCAGGTTTATCATTCTCTTGCCTGGACTTGCTAGCAAAAAGAAAATAAGAGATAGCCTGGTCTAGTGGATTCCTACATATGAACACAATTTTACACTTAGAATCTATAATGGACAATGGCAAAGATGAATAATGGGCATGAGTACTGAAAATTCTTGGCAGAGGAAGTTGTTCGAGATTTGGGTGGTTGGTTTTGAAGTAAAGGTCATTTTCCAAGGAACGTACAAGTTCATGAGGTGAGGTAAAGAGCAAGGGGCTCTCTTTAGGACTCTGGTGATTTCGGTTTATAACTGAGAAGGCAAGGGCTTTCAACCAAGGCATGCCCGATGCTGGCATGCTTGCTAATATAATATCGCTGTTCTGTGCTATGAAGTGTTGTTGAAAGGAAACTACTCCACTAATGGCATAAGCTGGATACCAAACCCCTCCATATAGATGGAGAGAACTACCATCCCAGTTTTTCTCACTGGGAAGCGTTAGCAACAACTCTTGGAGATCATTTGTAGGCTTAGTTTCTCCGGTTGAAGTATACAATCTACAGGGCATGTTTCTCTTTCCATGACAAGGAAGGCTAATACCAAGAAACCTTCCATTCCACAGATTTGTGTACTTATTCTTGTTTCTGGTCTTCCCTCGAGCCTCGATAATGCTGTTGCTGTAAGGAACAGCGCCCCTTGATAGAACTATGGTAGCACTGCCCATTTTGGTGGTAGTTCAGTGGAAGCAAGCGTGTAAATTGAAGACCTGCAGTCTGTATAGATCAATGCATCTATTCAGATCCATTTTTGTTAAAAAATATTGCACATCTGCCCTTTAATTATTTGCTAACATCATATGGACATCTAATATAAAATGAATGGATACTAATTAACAAGAAATTGTTTTTTATGACACCTAATAATAATATCTTCTGCTGCTAATCTTACCCTGTCTTTTCCTACACATGGCTGCCTAAAACTTTGCAGTGCTTATCTCTGAGCTGTCCTACGAATTTTTGGAAGATTGCCAACTTGTTTTCACGCACATCAAATTTAGTAGAAAATTATTAATGCCCAAACCAGTAGATGTTTTGTTTTCGGCTTTTTTTTCCCTCTTCTTTTGAACCGGAACGCAGAGCTTATGCTAGGAAAGTTAACTACTCTTAATTTGGACTTTTACTTAACAAGTTTGTTTTCTAGAAAAAAAAAAAGAAAAAGAAAAAACAAATCAAGTTGCTTATTTAATGTAAAGTTTAGAGTGCTTCTATTAGACAAAAACATAGGATGTTTATAGACAAATCGTTTATCGTATGGAAAACGAGCTGGTCATCAAATGAATTTTTTGTTAATATAAAGAATTTAAATCTTAAAATTACATTTGTTTTAAAAAATTAGATTTTATAGCCATCATTTGTTAGTTCTATTTACAATCTGAGATAAAAATATCCTGATAAAAAAAAATGTAGCAGGTTTTATTCCCTTTTTAGTACTAACTTGTTTTAGGCTAACTGATTCTAATAATGATGTTTTTCACATTTTACTTTCCCTCACAAATAGTCCCATCGAAAATATAAGATTATTACACATTTGGTTAGCAAACTTTCTAATTTTTTTTTATTTAAGTGTATAAATTTTTATTTTTAGTTTTTTTAACTGGTTTTTTAGCTATTCGTTAATTTTATGCTGATATAGTCTTTAAATAATTGACGTGACACCATGTTACCGGTCTCTTTTGACAAAAAAAAAAATATTGATAAATACACAAGAACAGTTCTTCCAAACTAGAAAACACACATTGCAAACAAACCCAAATCAACAAAAACAATAGAAAGACAGAAAGAGGAAGGTGGGGGATGTAGTTGTTGGATACTTTTATATTATTAAGCTGTCATACTTTTGTTATAGTTATGATAGCAATTCAAGAGTTGATAACACCCAAGATGCAATTTATACAAAACAAAATCTAAAATTTTGTATTCCATCCTTTTTGACGAAGCAATTAGATTTAATGACTGGATTATCAACATAATTTGACCTTACAATCTTAACCCATTCATGACCACAGTTATTTACTATAGCATTAAAACTTAAAGGTCTTTGATTATAAAATATTTGCAGGTTACAATTCTAAGTAAAAGCCGTAGTTAATATATTTATGAGAGTAGATGAATCATGATTAAAAAAAAAATTAATAATCTCTTTGTCATCTGCTATTTTCATGAAAGTCCAACTTAGTAGGTTAATTCGGACACAGATATTTGATGTACATTGCAAACAAACCCAAATCGATGGTTTGATATGACATGATAATAGTGTATTGAATTTTGTAATCAGTTGTTGTTTTCTATTTGCTGCAAGTGTTCTGAAATTCGAAATATTTACATTCTTCAAAAGAAGAAATGGATCACACACAATATATTCTGAAATTGACACGTAATCTAAAAGCCAACACCCAAAAAAAAAAAAAAAATCTAAAACTAACACCACCCATATAAGGCACAAAAGTGAGAATTACCTGAACGAAAAACGAAGGCTGTAAAGAAGATGGCGAGGGAGAGTTTGTGTTACTCTTCAGCATCAACTCTTGATAGCGATTAAAATACAATCCATTTACCTGTAATAAATAAATGGCATTATTCAAAAAAAAAAAAAAAAAATCAAATAGAACCCATAACTAACATGAGAAAAGAAGCAAGAAGTAATGTTTCTACTTGCTACAGTGAAATGCACAATCATGTAGTTTATCAGATGGAATCTTTGATTTCGAGCTGCTTAATACAACAAAAATGGTGAACAAGATAGATTATATTGCAAACAAACCAAATTATAGTTTAAATAAATGGAAAATTAAACTTCTTACAACGAAATTGATGAGGAAAAACAAAAACTACTCGAAATATATACAAAATTTAAAGCAGCTTAAAAGAACACATTAGAGTGAAATTCAAATACTTGACGACTAAATTTTATGAGAATTGAACACTGTGGAATAATTTAGCCCTCACATTTTAGCTCCGTGATTATGGTGGCGAACTGAGCCGTAAACGCCGGAGGAGAGAGGTCCGTGAGTTGGAGATTGCTTCCTCAACGTTTTACAGGTGAAAGACAACTCTGTCAATTCGAGTTTCGAACTTTGAGGCTGGCTCGTTTTTTAACATAAGAACTTCGGCCCATATTTTAGTTTCCATTGGCCCATTATTTCCTTTTTGTTAAGACTTAAAACTATTCAAGTGGCCCAAAATCTCAAGATATTAATGCGAGCCCCAAAAAGCCTTAGTCGGCTAACTTATCCAATCTACGACTATACATACTCGAAAAAATATTTTTTGTTGAAACTCACTTTCCGACAGTAAATAGGACCTTAGTGTTGTCAAGAACTATTTTAAAAAACAAGTTGCAGTTAGTATTGTCTTATTTTCTCTAAATATAGTATGCGAATAATAGTATAATCTATTCATACTTCATTCAGTATCAGTGGAATTACTTATATATATATATAGGAACTTTTGGGAAACTTTGAGGGTGATATTGACATTTTTAAGTGAATAGGGGTAAAAGTGTAACACTTTGGAAACTCTAAGGTCAAAGATATGGTTTACCCTTTACTTTATTACAACATCGGCCAGTGCATAGTCTTTAAGTAAAGCAACAATTGAGGAACAACATTTCTCTTTTCTTCATTTGTTGTATTTTATAAATTAACTTCAATATCTGTCTCCGAATAACTTCATAGATCTTCAATTTCTGTTTATTTTAACAACATGCAGACTTTGATTTTCCAATTTCTTGTTTCAGTAAGAGAGATCAAGCATGCTAAGAGTTGGGTTTCGTTTGGGTTTTAGGTAGTGGGGCTTATTTATGCTTGTTGATATTTTGTGGGTTGTCGTTGTTTTTGTGGTAACTGGCAATGGAAGGAGGCGGGTCACGTAACAATTCAACACCTACAATTGATAAAACAAGAGTTTTGGATGTGAAACCACTCCGAAGCACCTCATTTGTACCTGCACCTCCTTTTGGGCCTTACCCATCTGGGTTTACACTATTTTATCCTTTTAGTGCACCACTTGGTTCCCAAGCAGCAACACCTGACCTTAACCAACAGACACACACCACTCCTGCAGCTCCCCTTCGCTCGTTTCGAGCTAATTCAGAGTCTAATGGGGATGCTTTTAATGGAGAAGCTGGGTCCTTTTATGGTAGCAAGGGCTCCGCTAAGCGGACACCCAAGTCTTCTTTGCAGAAAAGACCAAGGAAGAGCCAAGATTTAGATTTTACCTTGGCTGTTGATGAGAATAATTTCGTTGCAGGAGCTTGTTTGTCTGAAAGGGATGATGGAAATAGGGAAGTGGTTTACATATGAGGTTCGATGCACTTAGAAGAAGGCTTAGTCAATTAGAAGATGCTAAGGAATCGCCTGCTGGGATTATTAGGCTGGCGAATCTGAAAGCAGCGAACATTTTGATGACCAAACAGGTGCGGACAAATATGAGGAAGAGAATTCGAGCAGTTCCTGGAGTTGAGATAGGGGATATTTTCTTTTCCCGAATGGAGATGTGCTTGTTGGGACTGCATGCTCCATCCATGGCTGGGATTGACTACATGTTTGTAAGGAATGACTTAGAGGAAGAACCGCTGGCTGTAAGTATCGTTTCGTCTGGTTATTACGACGATGATGCGGAGGATAATGATGTTTTTGATATATAGTGGGCTGGGCGGGGCTGCCAACAAGGATAAAGGAGCAACTGATCAGAAGCTTGAGAGGGGTAAACTTGCATTAGAGAGGAGTTTGCGCCGGGGCAATGAAGTGAGAGTCGTTCGGAGTATGAAAGCTAAATTGGCAAAGGTCTATGTATATGAAGAGGATTACTAGCAGTGCTGCATTTGATCAGAATTCCTAGCTCACTCAAATTCGAAAGCTAAATTAGCTACCAAAATAGAATATGGGCCTCTGGACAGCGACTTTCATGCATGTATTCATAAAAAAAGGAAAACGAAAAAAAAAGGACTTTCGTGCATGCATATAAAGGACAAGCTCTACTATTAATCATTAAAAAATCGCAATACTTGATGCATGAATTCTGAGTTTCCAAGTTCCGAACCAGTCCAATTACGCTATAAAGCACAGCCGTTGTTTCTTTTTGACAATCAAAAGCTAGCTTGGTTACATTACGAAAACTATGGCAGTCGGCACGCTTAATTCTAAAATCATGGCTTTTTTGAGCAAAAAGTTACTAATTTAGTAATAAATGAAAGATATCTTCCTATTTTTTCTCAATATTATTATTTTAATATTGCAAGCATAATACATATTAAATAAAAAAATTCTTACAATTAATATAAATTAATTTTTATTTCATACCTAGATATTATAAATTAATTAAAATATTAAAAATATTATACAGACTTATCCACGGCAATATACCAATACCATACTAGTATAAAAATAGATATATTAAAAATGTTAGCAACAACGGATTCAATTTGAACCCAACATTCATATTACACATATAAAGTACAATTTGAACCGCAAAGATATTGACTTTATATCAAATCCGATATTTGAAAGTTTTATAACAACAACGGTTCAACTTGGACTTTATGTCATACATGCGGTTCCATTTGTTTTCTACCATGCCCCTTTAGTATTGCATCACTCTTTTCTGTCGTGATATCTGCTTAGGTTTGGACTTATATTCTATTTTCAATCTTTTTTTTCTTTTTAATTTTTTTTGGTCCTCTAATTATTGGCTTGGAAACTCTTTTCCTAATTTTAATTAATAATATATGATAATTAACACGTTTCTAATAAATTTTTAACAATCCACTAACCTGGTCTAATAAACACAACGAGAAAAACGCTGAAGAAAGAAAAAAAACGTTAAATAATTTTTTTTTTAAATCATGCAAATATGTGAATTTGATAAATAGTTTAAATTATTTTTGCGTAATTTAGGAAAAAAATTTTACATAGCATACAATTACGACAACAACATAAACTCAACAAAAACTAGGATTAAAAACCTTCTAATTAATAAACAGAAGTTTCATATAATTAATTAGAGACTCAAATATTCCATAACGAAACAATTCCTTCGGACTCACTGAGACATTTTGAAGACTAGACCAGATCCAGCCAATTTTTCTTCCACTGTGTTTGCAAAACGTTCAGCCATTGCAGGATTCATATAGTTGCCCCAATCTCCCACCTCTCCTTTCCTGAAAAAGGAACTGTTCGGAGCTCCAGAATAAGGACGGACACCTTTTTTGTTGACCTCCAAATTCTTGAGACTGTCAAAGCTGCATAACCTCGATATCTCTTCTATGACCCCTTCCTTTTCTTCTTCCTCCGTGAAGGGATGCCCCAAGAACTCAGCCAACCTCTTCAAGTTAATGACAATATCATCTTTCAAATCTTCGTATTTCAAAAACAGCACCTTGTCTGGTCTTTCCAAGCTTGCTTTCCAATAACCCAACACACTATCCCAAAAGGGTCCATAACTCTGGACACCGCTACAAATGTTTTCAAAACCTTCATCAATTGACGATAAAGGTTGGCCAGTGGCATTTTCTCGTTTGAACTTGTGAACAAAATGAAAATAAGAGACAACCTGATCCAAAGGATTCCTACAGATGTACACAACTTTACACTTAGAATCTCTGATGGACTCTGGCAAAGATGCATAATGGGTGTGAGAACCGAAAATTCTAGGAGCAGGAAATCGTTCAAGATTTGGTTCATGGGTTTTCAAGTAAAGATCAGTCTCAAAGAAACGTACTAGTTCGTGTGGTGGGGTAGTCAGTAGAGGACTCTCCTTAGGACTGTAGCGGTTGCGGTTTGCTACGGAGAAAGTGAGTGCTTTCAACCAAGTGGTGCCTCATTTAGGCATGCTTGCTATTATTATATCAGTGTCTTGCGCTATAAAATGTTGTTGAAAGGAAAGCACTGCACTAAGTGTATACGCTGGATACCAAACCCCTTCATACAGATAGAGTAAATTGCCATCCCAATTTTTCTGACTGGGAAGGGTTGGCAGCAACTCTTGGAGATCATCTTTAGGCTTGGTTTCGACAGTTGAAGAAAGCAATCCGTGAGACCGAAAAGAATGAAATGTGGGCCGGCTGGGGACGCTAAGACTAATAGACCTTCCCTTCCACACGTTTGCATGGTTACTTAGGCTGTAAGGTAGTGGCTTCCTCTCATTTCTGGTTTTTCCTATTACCTGATGATCATGGGTAGTGTTCGTATTAGAACAAGTACCCAAAGAAAGATGGAAAAGGGAAGCACTTGCCATCTTGTGGGTATTTTAGTTTTAGGAAGACTCTGGAGAATGAAGTTTATTGCGAAGATCTCTCTCTCTATATATAATTAGGATAATAAACAGAAAGTTTCAAATGGTTCACTCGATTCCATCTCGAAAATCGTTCTTTAATAAGGTGCATGTGGGTGTGTGAAAGTCCGGAAAATTATTACATGCATAAATCGGATTCATACATGGGTTAAAAATATTGCATGATTGGTTGGTGTAAAATGGATCCAATATTTTTAGTGGTTTATGAATGCTTTAGCTTGTTTCAGTCATACATATATATATTAGCTTTTATATGTATTATATATTTAATTTGTCTCAAAAATTAATTAAGTAGTCTTTTAGCCCCTTTTCATTTTTCTATTTAAAAATAAGTAATCCTATATTGTAGAGCATAATTAAAGAAAAAAATATAATTTTATTAGTTTTCTTTATATATATTATAATATTTTTTATTTTTTACAAAATTAATTTTCAAGTTTATAAAGAAAACCTTTATGACATTATTAGTAGAAAAAGGTTGTATTATCGATGAATTAAATAAATATCTTTTATGTTTTTTTAGGTACATACGTCACATGAGTACCGCCAGTTTTCACTGTTTCTGCAGTCCTCCGTGGTTTTTCTTAACCTCGCTTCTCTGCTCTGCTCACGTATAGGTCTACAAAAGTATCTAAATTAGCGCGTTAAAGGTCCATTATATATCTCTCTGTCATTTTATTTGTCTTAACCGAGTTTTTTAACTAAAATTTGTAATAATCATATCCTTTTATTTTAAATTTATTTCTGAACTTTGTCCTTCCATCCAAATTTTTAGACAACAATGGCAATTTTCAATTTAAAACTAACAAGATGCTAACATATAATATTAAATTTTTCAAAAAAAAATAAAAAATCTTAAAATTCTTCTCTTTTTCTCTATCTTTATGTATAAAAATAATTAATTAATTTCACACCTCAATTTTTTTTTTGTTGCTTTCTCTCAAATTCAAACCAAAAAAGAAAATCTTTTATGGATAGGAAGGAATAGAAGCAAAAATTTTTTATTTATTTCAGAAATTTATTATGGAAATTTATTCAAATCCAAACCAAAATTTTTTTAAAAAAATTCATACTAAATTTCTGAAATAAAAAAAAGTTAATTATTATTTCCTTAGGTTGTAATTCAAACCTTCATCAACATAGAAGATTTTACCTATGCACTACACTAACAATGATACAATTTGATTTTAAACCGTTATATTCAATTTAAATCAAGAGAAAATGTTGAAAAAACACAAGTAGTTGCCCTAGTAGTTTTCACCCCATTGCCTCTCCCCTTTATGGTTGTTTTTTTTTTTTTTAAAAAAAAAAGGAAATACTAAGTGGCTTAACACTATAATACAACAAGACATAGGGGACAAATCGTTGTGTTAGGTCTTTGACCTAACATATGAACCTATCCATTTATCCCATAAAAATATTGGGTTAATGGATTGTAATAAAATAAAGTCAATATTATCAATTTGACAAACGGTAATTTAAGTATTTTATTTTTAAAAAATAAAATTATCTTTTTAAAAAAATTAATAATTTTTTTTATTTTTTTTTACTATATGAATTCATACACATTATTAATTATCCAACAACAAACGTTAGATTCATCAACTCAAAATCATATAATCTTCCTTGAAGTTAATTATTATTAAATATATTTTTTCAACATTAATTTTTAATTGATGAAGGATATATTGATAATTATCTAAAAAAGTGGTGAGAATAATAATTTTATTGGTAAATTTATCGGTACTCATAAAATTAACCTTAGTATTATACTTCGACTTCTTTAATAAAATATTCCTAGCTTCGCCATTGATTTGTTAGAAACTTGTAATAATTATATACGTATTAAGTGTTATAGAATAATATAAATCATATCTTGGGACCTCATCCGAAAGCTTCACTTAAAAACTTAAGCTTTTAGGTGAGATGGTTCTTGAACATGGTATCGAGCCTTGATAAACAAACGGTTGTGAGTTCGAATCCTACCACTCTTATTTTTTTTTCTAATTAATTAAGCACAAAGTAGTGTGAGCTCGTGTAAGTTTCAAGCCCAAAGGGCTTTCACTTGAGGGGATGTGTTAGAGAATAATATAAATCATATCTTGAAATCTCACCTAACAGCTTAAACTTGTAGGTGAGATTATCCTTTGACAGATAAAGAGTAACCTTATTAAAAGATAGAGAAAAGAACGTAAAAAAAAAAAAAAATTTGATAAAAATTGTCTTTGGTATATATATGATTTCGATCATCAATGAAAGTTCTATAAACTTGGATTTTCTTTTATTGCATTATTATCAGGATTTTTCCGTGACAAAACAATCAATACCCAAAATCTTCACAAATTAATTTTTTTTTTTTATGTTTTCACTATTTTTTTTAGCATTTCGAATTCTAGCAACAGATGTAATTGAATTGACTTTTTTTTTTTTTAATGAATTGTTCATTCAATTAAATTCAAGTAAGTTACGAGTAGCATTCTGATCATGCTAATAAATAGAATTGATGCTATAGTTGCCCAAGTAAAAGCACTGATTAAGGACTTTCTCCCAAAAAAAAAAAAGGATTGGGATCAGTGAAACAGTATATTATAATCATGTGCTATCAACTTTGTGTCTATAAATGACCATAAAATATGAAATGTATTAGCTGTTCCCGTGAATTCTTTACCTGGATAAGATACGAAACCTAAATAGTATTATTATACAAAGTGAGTGATGTTCTCGATGGTCGTAAAATATGAAATGTATGATCCCAAGGAGGCGATGTCAATAAAGCCAGGTTGTATTGATTCATAATGTAGATATGTTTTTGATTTTTTTTTCGTTTATATATGATCATAAAATGTGATATTATATTCGATGGTCACCTGATGTTTGCTTTTATATATATATAAGACTGGAAATCTGATTACTACATTATACAAAGTGATGTTCCCGATGCTCATAGAATATGAAAATATGAAAGCAGAGGAAATTCGGCGAATGCACGAGGAAGGACAGCTAGAGAAAATGGTTGAAGGGTGTGAAATGTTGGATGATGGTGGTGGAGGTGGAGTTGGAGGGGCTTGTGAGGCTTGTGGGGATATCAGGTTTGTGCCTTGTGAGACATGTTCAGGGAGTTGTAAGATATATTATGAGTGTGATGATGAAGAACAAGAAGAGTTAGAAGAAGAAGAAGAGAGTGGTGAGTATGGGTTTCAACGTTGCCCTGATTGCAATGAGAATGGACTCATACGCTGCCCTATTTGCTGCGACTAGTTTTCAGTGGTCAATCAAGATTTTGTTTCTACTTTTTCATCTTTTCTGGTTTCTTTTTATTCTGGGTTTTTTCTTGTGAATCGTTTGTTGTACAGTGGGTTTTTATTTTTTATAATTTTTCTTTTAGGTATGTTTGAAGGGAGGTTCATATGGGAAAATGCAATAGAAGAAACAGGGAATAATGTATCCTAAGCAGGTTTATTAAATCCTCAGTCATGTATTCTGATGGTCGTAAAATATGAAATGTATGAGGCGATGTCAGTAAAGCCAGGTTGTATTGATTCGTAATGTAGATATGTTTTTTATTTTTTATTTTTTTGTCGTTTATATATGATCATAAAATGTGATATTATATTCGATGGTCACGTGATGTTTGCTTTTATATATATATATATATAAGATTGGAAATCTAATTACTACATTATAAAAAGTAAGTGATGTTCCCGATGGTCATAGAATATGAAATGTAGTCGATGTTAGTTAGGTGATGTCAATAAAGCCAAGTTGTATTGATTCATATTGCAAGTAATGTAGATATGTTTTTTATTTTTTATTTTTGTTTTTGTTTATGCATGATCATAAAATGTGATATGTATTAGTTGTTCAAGCTATTTATTTGCTTAGATAACGTGCAAAGGTTGTTGAGAATCAATTAAATAACTAGTCAACTGATTGATTATAATATAATATTATAAAATAAAGAGTTAGTTTTATAATTTGTAAAGGCAATGGTTAACTAATTAAGTAGAATGGATGCAAGTGGTGAGATTTTTTAGGAAAAAAAAAACAAATAATATTAGTAAAATGCAAGTTAGAATAGCAAGTGGGTAGATAGTCAAAATCCAACCGAGATTTTTATTAAAGATTCAAAAGTTGGATTCCCCTCACAATTGTTGTAAGGTTGATATTTATAATAGAAAGAGAATGGTCATTAACTCGTTAGGATTGTATTACATCATCTAAATTTGAATGGTAAGAACTGGTTTGAATAACTTGTATTCTTTTAGGTTACACTATTTCAACTTGTTAGGAAAGACTAACGAAATAGCAATTGGCTTTTACTTAGCCGATCTTGCTCCAAATCTACCAAATCAATCTTATTAATACATTAAAAAAAAAACATGGACACCATATCCGTTAGAACATCCGTGTCTATTTTTGCAAAACCTAAAGTCTTGTACTAGACAAAACTCATCTTCGATCCAATGCATTTCTTGTGTAATTTTAATTCATATCAAAATTAAGAAAAATAACAAGAATTAATACATAATAAAATTAACTAAAATGTTAATTATTTTTTATGAAGAGATTAAGCATATACAAATAAGATAGGAAATCTAATTACTATTATTATAAAAAGTAGGTGATATTAATAGGTTAGCCCGATAGTCATATAAATTTACTCTATCTTTTTTTACTGAATTTAAATTTTGTAGTCAACATAAATATTTCTATAGAGATTTTGAATCTATATAGAGAATGGGTTTTTAAAATCATAAGTAAAAAAGATTTAGTTTTAATTAATTCAAAAATATTCACAACCATTCAACCAAAAAAAAAAAAAATGATGACTTCGAAGAATGTATTATCCGATTTTCCTCATTATAAAATCCTATCAAATATTTTTTTTTTAACAGCAAAAATAATAATCTCGTCAAAGGCATCTTTCTAACTCATATATTTTTGTTTTTCCAGTATGTACAACCATCCCTTCGTTGGCCTCAAAATTATTGATTGATTTCTGCTAGTATTTATTATTGATTTGCCAATTATTGTTTCTCTTTTTTCTTTAATGCTTTTTGGTGGTGGTATTGTAATAACCCAAATTAAAAAAAAAAAAAAAAAAGAGGGTTGGTATAAAAGGAGCGATGAATCGCTCTTTTTTCCAAATTTTCTCTCTCTTTTCTCTCCCTCTCTCACGTGATTTTTCTTCCAAATATTCTCCCAACTTTCCCTTCAATTCCTAAGCTAATCCATTGTTCAATTAGCTTAGGAAGACCATAAGTAAGAGGATTCAAGTGGAGTCTAACTAGCTTGGAGCTTGAAAAGCTTGAAAAACTAGGAAGAATTTGGGATTTGAAGAGCATGGTGCAAAGGTAAGATCTTGGATCTGTTGATATTTGAATTGTGAAGTTTATATGTAGTTAATAATGATATTGAGATGCAATTGCATTGGATTGTAATTTGCTTAAGGAATTAATTAAATTAAGGTTAGGGTTTTGAGACCCATTTAGAGAAAAGTGATCCTAAGTGATTATAATGACTTAAGCAATACTTAGTTATCTTGGTTAAGTGATGAATGAAGAGTTAATTTACAGTGAATTTGAGAAATTGAGAGGTTGAAGATGATGAATAGTGAAAATTTCAAATTTAAGTTTTAATTGGAAAGAATTTGAAAAAAATGAGTAACTAAGCCATAAAAGTATGATTAGAGGTAAATGGAATAAGTATTGGGTGAATTACAAAAGAATTGATCATTTAATATAATTAAGGGTTAATTGATTGATGGTTGATTATTTAAGGAATGGATTGAAGATTAGTAAAGGAATGTGATTAAGTGATTGTTTAGAATCAATAGAAGGATTATAAAATGTAGTTAGGTTTTCAGTTTGAGTCTTTCTAATCAATTCCATTTTGTTTGATAATCTTGTATTTTAATTCTAGAATAATTCATTGTTGAGATTATTCCTTGGTGTATGGTATTGATGGATGATTCATCATTTTGTGATGCTATATTCTTCGGCATGGGTGACTCGTCCCAACCATCTTGATTTTGTTCGGTTGTTCAAATTATATCATGAGTGGATATTATATAGTGTATTGCATTTTAAATTGATTTGTTCATCATGTATTATTGTTTAAGAACAATTTAGAAGCATTCCATTAGAATGTAGATGAGAATAAACATCATGAATGTTAAAATGTTTTCGTATCAAATGATTTGATATGAATTGAAAAGGGGTTGATATGTGTTTTTCGACTTGAATAAACATGTTATAAATGTTATTTTAATTATCCGTATAATTTTTGAAAAATGCATGCATGGTATTTGAAATATCAATTTGAAAATGTATAAATATGTTTGGTTTTTAAAATTATTTTCGAGACCCTAAGGAACCTAGCTACTAGGAGGATAGCCTTTGAGCTCAATGATGTAAGGCTCCATCTAGAAGGAGAGGTGTAGTGCTAGACTATGTGTTGCCTAACATATGAAAACCTAATCACATGAGGCATGACCTTTAGGTGTTCGCACCCAATGATACATATTTACCCCACGGGTGTATAAAAATCTATATATGTGTTTTTGTATGAGTACGATATATGTATGTTCAAATGCTTTAATGATTTGATACAAAATGGTTTCAAACCATTTGATTTATGATATGAGATGTGTTTTCGATATGCATGTGTTTTGAGAAATAAACATTATATATTTTCCATGGATTTGAGAATATCGTCCTTAGTCCATTTCTCTTCCTTAGTATATTATATAATGTCTACTCAATGAGCTATTGATTGCTCATCCATCATTATTTCAGTTTTTGAGGATATTAAAGGATTGTTTATTGCTTCTTTTTGGTTACTTTTGGCAAATTTGACACCTTGGTCGTGCGACTTATTTTCTTATAATTTCTTAAAACCTATGTATGTTATGAGTTATTGTATTTTTAGAAGGCCTACAATTATAGTCGCCAATGTTGTGATAGAGATTAATTATTAATATTGATTTGAAGAAATGCAAGGATAATATTGTGTTGACAAATGATTATGAATGGCTTGGTATTATAAACTATATTGGCGTTATAGAATCATTATTAATTTGAGATAATGTGCAATGAAATGATAATTAAGGATTTAAGTTTAGGTATTCGAGACTTACTTGGGTCAAGGTGGGCCTTATGGTTCCTTTGGTCCTCACGGCGATCATGGCTCACTCCTAAGGTCGTGACAAGTGTCCTATTACTCTTCTATCCCTTTTTTATTGTTTTTTCTTTATGATTCACCAATTTTTTTCCATCAATTCACACCTTCTCCCTCTCATCTCTTTTGTTTATGCCTTTTTCTTTTCGGATTATTTTTAATTGCACCATTGAGTGCTCTTCTAATCGTACCTCAATCCCTCATTTTCATTCCTTTATTAGCTCGCCTTTCGTGCCTTTTTTTTGTAAGAACAATCATTTTTTTGTCGGTGTATTTAATGTACCACAATGACGGTACCACACCCATTTGTTTAAAAAATATATTATTTCCTTAATTTTTCTTCATTCCCACCGGTTTATGTGCAACCCTCAAACTATTATAGACAAATCATGAAGCTCGTAATTTTCACCTCTATACATATATATTATGGGTGCCATTATATAATTTTCTTTTTTTCTTTTCTCTATTTACATGTTGTATGTAAAATTTTGAGTGTATATTTCGTTAAATTATGTTTTTTTAATGATTACATTAGGGTTTTCTTTGTTCATTACTGTTAATTTTTTATGAAAAAATAATTTAATTTATTTAACTAAATGGATCTGTTGCGCGTCATTAATTACTTATGATTCATAACCAAAAAAAATCATCTAAGCTCCTTAAAACTAATTATTATTAAATAAATTTCTAAAATTAATTTTAATTTTTTTTAAAAAAATTAATAATTCAATTTCTTTTTTGCTAAATGGATCCATTATACATCATTAATTATCCAACAATAAAAGTCAAATTTATAAACAAAAAAATCATCTAAATTTTCTAAAAATGAACTATTATTAAAAAAATAAAATTAATTTTAATTCTCAATATTTTTTTTACTAGATGGATCCATTGCACATCATTAATTATTTACCAACAAAAGTAAGATTCATTAAATAAATAAATAAACCCAAGCTACCTTAAAGCTAATTATTATTAAATACTTTTTCAAAATTAATTTTAATTCTTCAAAAAATTAATAATTCAATTTTTTTACTAGATGGATCTATTACACATACTTAATTATCCAACAATAAAAGTCAAATTAACAAACAACAAGATCATCTAAACTTTTTTAAAATTAACTATTATAAAAAAAAAATAATTCTAATTTTTCTTTCAAAATTTTAATCAAAGTCAACTAAAAAAAAAAGCACCAAGTGTGCTTAAATACTCACCAAGGAACCTAAGAATCAGCTAGAGTTGAGTCCTTTCTTCCTTGACAGATTCTAACACTTTTCCTAATTAGACTTGTATTTATGCCATCCATATTCAATTAGGACTTATTTAATTTAGCTCAATTAAATATGAATCCATATAATACACGGACTCGTAAATAATTAAGGAATCCCTAACAAATAAGGATCCACAACATACAAAGATTAATCATCCATCTAGGCCACATGCGCCTATGTCCTAATTAAGTAGGAAACTCAAAGTCCTATGAAGAGTAATTAATTATACTAAGTCTATACAATTTAAAATAACCTAAATAAATAAAAGATAATAAAATAGATAAGATAGAAGATAGAAATTTTTAGCCACTTAGGAGAATTGAACTTTCAATCAAATGGATAATTAGATGATTTTTTTCTTATATATATATATATAAGAAAACAAATCATTAGGCAAGTAAGTTTGGGGAGAGAGAGGGAGAGGATTAAATGCAAGCAAGTAAGATTGAGAGAATAATAATAAATAAATAAATTACCTTTGTGAAGCCCTAGCTTGGACATAGCTTCTCCGCAAATGCAAATTGGCATTTGAAGGTGAAGAAACTGCTACGTAATCTCCCATTGTTGCTTCCTGTCTCTCGCCTTTGCCTCTCAAGTCTCAATCAATCAATAACAATACATTGCATCTATCTAGCATTCAAAATTTCAAATAAGTAAATTAGAGAAGACGATGATGGTGATTTTAAATAGTAATAATAATTACTTTACTTTACTTATAGTCTATAGAGGAAAAGGAATGAAAGATTTTCATAAATTGTTGTTGTTTTTGGATCAATCAATAAGAGAATAAAAATGAAAGATTTTGGATTGGATTTGTATGTACCTACTTTTTTAAATTAATAATAATAATAGACGTTAATATATGTAATATAAATCTAAAATTTCCCTCTCTTGCTAGTCGTCATCGTCGTCGTCAATAAAAAAAGTAGTTGATGGGCAAAGCATAGAAACAACCAAACTAAGTGACCTAATTTGGGATTGGCATTTGGACTGGGTCTAAGGATGGTAGTGAGCTGATAGAAAACTGGTTACATGTACAACCCAACCATTAATACTCCTTGTGGTATCATGGTTGACCATACAACATGAAATTCCTTCAAATATTTATGGAGGTCTTCTCCAGCAAGGCTTCAAAATTTCGACAACAAGTGTATCAATCTCAATTTCAATTCAAATGCCACATCAAGATTTGAGAACTCTATACACAAGGGCTGTTGATTAAGATCAAGAGCAACCCACTCCTTTAGAGTCTTGTTTGCCTTGTTTGCAACCATCACCTTTCCTTCGAATCACTTGATGATAAAAGTTTAAAAATGGTAGTTATGCTCGAGTGAAGTAGAAACTATTCTCTCAAATGTCTCAATCCTTTCTATCAAAGCTAGTCTAGCTTTTGTCCTCAACTTGCTTAATTCTCTTTTCGATTCGGGATTGAAAATCAGAGTTGCTCGATTACAACTTGGTCATATACTAACCTAATAGAAGCAATAAGAATAGTCAAAATACCAAGAAATAATTAACTTAAGTGCAATCCTTCCTCGACAATAGTGCCAAAATTTGATGGCAAGTCATATTGTCAACAAATTAATTATTTATTTATTCTCCTCACGAAACCTAACCACAAGGGTGTATGGGGGCAAGCAATGGTCAAACCCATAGAGAAGTGGCCTAATTAACGGTTTCTATTGTCCGATTGTGCTATAGTGCAAAAGAATTAAAGTGGGGTTTGTGTTTGTGATAATTTCTAAAACAAGTGTATACTTATTAACAAGTAACAAACCAAACTAAAAGAAATAGAAAATTTACTATTCCTCCAAGGTTCCTTATAACTCGTGTTTATTATAGACTAACACCCATCTCCACTCGTTATTATGCCTCGATCGTTGATTCTTCATCTTCTCTATTTATGGCTGTTTGATTTGGTGATTTTGTCTCGTTTCTTCGGAAAAAAAATTTTATTTTTCTTTGTAAGTTGTTCTTTTATTAGTCCTCTATTTTATTTATATTTTACTTTTTGTCACTATTTCTTTTGTCATTTTTTTTACGGAGCATTTGTGGGAGCATTTAATGCTCATATCCGTTGTTGGTTATTTCTTCCTTTTTTTTTCCTTAATTATTTATGCTTTTCTTTAATTGTTTAAATGACTCATTGTTTTGTAATTTGTTCATTTTTTTCTCTTTATTTTCTTTCTAATTGCTTTGATGCGATCGAGTAGTTATGTTATATTACTTTATGACCTTTCATTTATTCTTTATATTTCTTGCTACTTATTATTTTTTTTTCGGGCATTTTATTTATGTTTTTGGTAGAGCATTAGTGCTCGCATCTTTTTATCTTTTTTTTTTTTTTTTGTGCCTAAACATCGTTTTATATATAACAATGAGAGGATATATATATCCTCTCATTGTTATTTTTCAGAAAAAGGATGTCAAATTTTCTAGAGAGAGGATGCCATAGTGTTTCATAATTGTTTTTTTCATAACAAACTAAAAGAATTAAAGAGTTTACTATTCCTCCATTGTTTATTATGACTCCCGTTTTCTATAGACCACTATCCATTTCTATTGTTGTTACATCTCGATGGTTGACCCTTCATCTTTTTTGTTTATGATTTCCTTTGCTTTATTATTATTTTTTTAAAAAAAATGTCTAAGCTATATTAAAACTAATTATTAATAATTTTTTTAAAATTAATTTTAATTCTTCAAAAATTAATAATTCAGTTTTTTTTTTACTAGATGGATCTATTACTCATAATTAATTATCCAAGAATAAAAGTCAAATTAATAAACAAAAAAATCATCTAAATTTTTTTAAAATTAACTATTATTAAAAAAATTAATTCTAATTTTTTTAATTATATGGATTCATTGCATGTCGTTAGTTATCTCAATACAAAAATAAGATTCAGAAAAACAAAATCATCTAAGTTATCTTAAAGTCGATTATTATTAAATACTTTTTTCAAAATTAATTAATTCTTAAAAAAATTAATAATTCAATTTTTTTTTACTAGATGGATCCATTACACGTAATTAATTATCCTATAACAAAATCATCTAAACTTTCTTAAAATTAACCATTATTAAAAAAATTAATTTTAATTCTAAAAAAAATAGAACAATCAACACTTTCACTATAAAAAATAATAGAGAATGATAAATTTTACCCAAAAACTAATAGTTTTGAGTCCAAATAGTATGAACATTAAATTGCCATAACTCAATAGTTTAAGGGTGATTTTTACCATTAAACCTCGTTGATTAATCTCTTTGATGGACCAATAGAAAAGCCATCAATTTTTTCACTACCCTCTAGTTTTCCTTTCGCTTCTTTGGTAAACAAATTTGATTGATTAGATTCCCTTTTTAAGAAAACTTTGCGAATTTTTTTTTAATAGATTGGTGAAGGGAAAAAAAAGTCATTTTGGGTTATTGTTTGGTTAAATACAAATGAACTTGTTGCAGGATAGAATTTTTTTTATGCCACAAATTACTATTTATTGTCTCAAATTATTTATCCTTTTTTTCTAAATGCCGAAGAGGGCAAGTTTTTTTTTTTTTCCTTCTTTTTTGCACTTTTTTTTCCTCATTAATTTATTTTCAATTATATTATTTTGAATTATTGGCAAAAATTGTAGATGATTGACCATTATTTTTTTGGTTTCTTAAATACTCTGGAGAGAAAAAATATATGTGATATCTTTTTATATTTTTAAAATGAATATATATTTCATATTATATTACTCTTATTATTTGAAAATTATTTCTTCAATTTGCCATTTCTTACAAAAATTCTCATCCAATTGTTTTTTATATTTTTTATTAATTTTTATTTATAGAAAAATATGAATTTTTTTTATCTACTTATGGATTTTGGAATATAATTTTACAACATGATTTTTTTCTCTTTTTTAAATTACAAATGATATAATTTATATGATGAATTTTAAGAATTTTTGAATAATAGCTTTGCATGTAATGTATGTGCACAAAGATCGACCATGTATGTTGTAAAAAAAATTAAGAAAAAAACTATTCATGTATTGTATTTGCCATATCTTTATATAATCAAAATTTATCAATTTTTTTTTTGTAATAGCCTTTATTTTAATCCGTTATATTCAAATTTATTCAATAAATTACTTGCAAATTAACTATTTTTTAAAATATTTTTTTTTGTCTTATGTTGCAAACTCTAAACCCACTTAGAATAGTTATTTGTAAGAAAATATATTAAATTTTTAGTTTTATTAGAAATTAACTATACAACAAGCACAAAATACAAATTGTTTACTATTTATTTATTTATTTATTTTTGGATATTATAGAATTAATTTTTTTTCAAATTAAATAATTAAAATTATGTTTTTTTGGAACTCATGAATTATTTAAATGCAATTTTTTATTCTAATATCGTTCAAAAATAAACAAATGTACATGTTTTCAAAAAACTAATATTCTCATCAACATTAAATGAGTATCAAAATAATTTTTTCATTTGTTTATTTTTATGTAAGTTTTTACATCAACTCGTTATTTTGTTTTGATGACAAAATTGTCGTCGGTCTACAAGAGCATGAGATCGCAAAAGACCAAGAAGTTGCTACCTATCCTTAGGTGAGGAAGATATAACATCATTGTCATCCCCTTCTATTTAAGGTAAGCTACATTGTTTGCATGCGAGAAAAAAAAACCTAGTTTTTTACTGTCTTATGCTTCTATGCCTATTTAAGTAAGTGTATTTTGTTCGGATGTGAAAACAGAGTAGTTTTGGGGTTTGGATGTAAAATAAAGTAGTTTGTACATTCAAGTCGGTTAACGCCAATATCCCCTACTTAAGGGAGAAAGATGGAGAAAGTTAGAATTTGGGCTAGTTTTTAGTGAACTCAACCTATTACCGATAAGTAGGAGTTGCTAAAGATGGATAGCTTTTTATTAGTATGAGCGATGAGTCACCGACAACTTCACTCACACAAGTAGAAAGCCATTGACGACTTTGAGTCATAAATTTAATAAGTCACTAAAATCTCATCATATAAGTGAGAAGCCATCGATAATGTCATTTTCCTCGTGCAAGTAGCAGATAACTATTTAGAAACCACTCGGTGGCTTCGTCACACAAGCAGGAAGCTATTGACAATTTCCTTATAGATAAGCGGACAACAAATAAAATAATTTCAAAATCACTAACGGTTTCATCACACAAATGAAAAGCCATTGACAACTTTATTTTAATCAAGCATAGAACAAATAAAATAATTTTGAAACCAATAACGACTTCATTTAAGCAATTCAAAATTAAATAAAATTGGTTCGAGCCACCGATGACTCCATCCTTATAAATGGAAAGCCATTGGTGACTTCATTTTGAGCAAATAAAAAATAGGTAGAACGACTCCAAAACCACTCGGTAGCTTCGTCACATAAGTGAGAAGTCACCGACGACTTCATTTCAAACAATAAAAAAAAAAATCTTGAAATAACTAACGGCTTTGTTTTGTCCATTCAAAATTAAATAAAAATGTATTTGAGAGCTACCAACAACTCCATTCACATAAGTGAGAAGTCACCGATGACTTCATTTCGAGCAAGCAAAAAAATAGATAAAATGTCTCCGAAGCCACTAGCGACTTCATCACATAAGTGGGAAGCTACCAATAATTTTGATTCGAGCAAACAAACAAAAAAAGGTAAAATAACTCACATTAAAATTACGAGTGCTTAAACGGGTAATTCATTTGCAATAGCAATTACAGCAACATTCATCATAAAAAAAAAAATTAAACCCTCGAATAGAATAATGAAATGCTATAATTTCATTCATATTTTGAAGGAGTACAATCATTATAGAAGTTTTATCCAAAAAGTTCTATAATTAAAGTATCTAATTTGAGAGTCAGTTTTACTTATTTCGTCTTCAATGATAATTGATTATTTAGTTAGCCAAGGAGAGAAAACAGTTGCCCGTTACCAAAACTTTGTATGAGTCCTACTAAAGTGATTGAAGGTCTCTCTAAAATCGGTGCGAGAAGTCAAAGTTGCTGCTGCTGCCACCAAACTTGCTGTAAATTTACCAAAGTTGATGTAAATTTTACAGTAACTTAAAAATCTCTAACTTTTCTAAAAATTGCCAAATTGCTGCAACTTGAAAGAGCTTGACAACAAAGTTGATGTTGTACTTTTCTTGTCAAAAAACAACATAAACATAGTCTATAACATCATATTGTTTATATCAAACACAATCAATTAAACAATAAATTTCTTTTATGGAAAGTGGCTAGCTGACTATTGGTTTTCAGCGAGGCAAAAGGCTGCCTAGCTGCTGGAGGCGTTGCCTGACGCGATGAGAACTGCTAAGCAGCAAGGGTGGCTATTGCACTAGCATGCTACTGATTGCGAAGGCAGCTTGGGTAGCTTGGGTTGTGGGGCACGACTGGCTGCAAAGGCAGCCTGGGCTGTGGGGCATGCAAGTGAGGCTACTGGCTTGCAAAATGCACACATAGGTTACGTGGGATGGCTTACGCTGCTACCTGCTAGCATGAGGCAAAGCTTACAAGAGGCTGCGTGGGATGGCCTAGGCTACTGCATTGTTGGCTTGAGGCTAGGCTTGGCAGAGGCTATATGGGATGGCCTAGGCTGTTGCGCTTTTGGCATGAGGTGAGGCTTACGAGAGGCTACGTGGGATTGCTTGGGCTACTGCGCTCCTGGCATGAGGCGAGGCTTACGAGAGGCTGCGTAGGATTGCCTAGGCTGCTGCGCACTTGGCGTGAGGCGAGGCTTGTAAGAGGTTGCGTGGGATGGCCTGGGCTACTACGTTACTGGTGTGAGGCAAGGCTTGTGAGAGGTTGCATGGGATGGCCTAGGCTGCTGCACTCTTAACTTGAGGTGAGGCTTGTGAGAGGTTGTGTGGGATAGCCTGGGTTGTTGCGCTGCTGGCGTGAGGCGAGGCTTGCAAGAGGCTGCGTGGGATGGCCTGGGCAACTGCACTGCTAGTGTGAGGCAAGGCTTACGAGAGGCTGTATGGGATGGCCTGCGCTACTGGCGTAAGGCGAGGCTTGCGAGAGGCTGTGCGGGATGGCCTACACTATTGGAGTGAGGCGAGGCTTGTCTGTAGGAATAAGATTCCACGAAGCAGAATATCTTTAAGAGATTTTCTTCTGGTAGATCGATCAATTCATTTATAATTGATAAGAATCTTACACCGTACCAATCAACTATAACAACTTGACTTGGGCCATTTGGCTGGACTGCTGTTTCTGAGCCTGTGATTTTGGTTTTTTCTTTTATGATTTCGAATACCCATGATTCGATCAAATTTATTTTATTTTCTATAACTGAATTAAATAAATAAAAATACTTAATCTATTTTCCATAACAAAACAAGTAAAATGATTTCGAATACCCATGCACACACGTAGCTATTTCAACCAGCTAGTCATTTTATTGGTTATCTTGCCCTATTGGTGTTTATTACTAAATCCTAGGCTTTTTCAGAAAAACAATAGACCAGCAATCTGGGACCTTTACCCTTCTCATTTTGTGGATCTTATGATTTGCACATCCTGAGCTTGTGTCAATGTTATAAAACTTATATACGCTACTGATTGCTTTCTTAAGCAGCCATAGAGATTGGATGCAGGTCACCTATTTAATGACTCTTTAGCTGTATTAAAACACGTCGCCTTTTAAAAATTAATTTAATATTGTTTTTATGATGCCATTATTCAATAGAACAGTTTGTATGAAAACATGAATGGTTAAATCAGCTTTTGTTATCTAGCCATGGAGGGCAAAGCCAATACAAGGATTAGACCAACTCAGGGAGATTTAGTTAATTGAAACAGAAGAGATAGGGAGAGATGGGGGATGGGGGGAAGGAGGAGAAAAACTCAAAAAGCTTCTAACCCAGCAATAATGATCTTTTGCAGTAAAAAATTACGAATTCAAATTCTAACAAACTAATTTATTAGAAACCTTAGATGTGTTAGTTATATATATATATATAAAAGAGAAGAAAAATTAAAGAGTATAATCAGAAGTTGAATAAAAAAAATAAAGTAAGAATATTAGGAAAAGATAAAAAAAATAAAAGGACATTTGATACGATTAAACCCATTATGACATGCATGCAGCTTCAACTTACCGTCATCACTCTGTTCTTTCAAATAGATGGCCCATTATACGTGTAGTTGAATCTTGACTGGAAGGGCACACTCTCCAAAACCCATTATTGGAATGAGTACATTATACATTAGTCCCTTTAGTTTTGTAAAATGAATCAAACAGTTTCTTTAGTTTGAAAAACTAATTATTTTAAAATAAATTAATATTAAATTAAATTAGTCTACCTTCTTAGTGCGGTAGATATATATGACTTTGTCAGCCTGGACACTCACTTCAAATTAGCATTTACCACTGCCCATCTTAAGAGGATTGTTAAACGCCTGGAATTGGATTGTCTGTTTTAGTAACACATGGCCCAACTTCATTTTGAGAAAGCTCTAAAATTTCAAAATTTTAACAGCAACCAACCCTTAGAATAGAGATAAAAAAATATCGTTGGGTAGATTTTGTACATGCAACGTTCAGTGTCGTCGTACAGTAATTTTGAGAAAATCCGTAAAAAAATTTGTAAGCGACATTGTAACTGCTATGCCTCGGATGGCATGTAAATGGTTCTTGAACATACTTGACATAAAGGAAAATCAGAATACAGGTAAAAGTCAACAAATCCAAGCTAAGTGAAGGCTTTTACAAAGCAAAAGGCCCTGTACATACAATAGAACACCAACTCATTTACACACTTTCATTGAGATATTTTGAAGGCGAAACCAGATCCAACCAACCTTTCTTCTACAGTCTTCCGGAAGTTTTCAGCCATTTGAGGACTGAGATAATTGCTCCAATGCCCCACTTCTTCGCTCCTGAAAAAGAAACTATTTGGAACTCCATTCGGACGAACACCATTTTTGTTCACCTTCAAGTCCTTGAGGTTGTCAAAGCTACACAAGCTTAATATTTCTTCTAGGACCCCATCTTTCTCTTCATTTTCCAATAAAGGAAATCCCAAGAACTCAGCCAGCTTCTTCAAGTTGGAAATCGTATCATCCTTCAAGTCTTCATATCTAAAAAACAGCACCTTCTCTGGTCTTTCCAAGCTTTCTTTCCAATATCCTAATGAACTATCCCAAAATGGCCCATAATTCTGGACACCACGACAAATTTTCTCAAAATGTTCTTCAATTGAAGAAACAGGTTTAGCATTCTCTTGCCTGGACTTGCTAGCAAAAAGAAAATAAGAGATGGCTTGGTCTAGAGGATTCCTACATATGAACACAATTTTACACTTAGAATCTATAATGGACAATGGCAAAGATGAATAATGGGTATGAGTACTGAAAATTCTTGGCTGAGGAAGTTGTCGAGATTTGGGTGGCTGGTTTTGAAGTAAAGGTCATTTTCAAAGGAACGTACAAGTTCATGAGGTGAGATAACGGGCAAGGGGCTCTCTTTAGGACTCTGGTGATTTCGGTTTATAACTGAGAAGGCAAGGGCTTTCAACCAAGGCATGCCCGATGCTGGCATGCTTGCTAATATAATATCGGTGTTCTGTGCTATGAAGTGTTGTTGAAAGGAAACTACTCCACTGATGGCATAAGCTGGATACCAAACCCCTCCATATAGATGGAGAGAACTACCATCCGAGTTTTTCTCACTGGGAAGTGTTAGCAACAACTCTTGGAGATCATTTGTAGGCTTAGTTTCTCCGGTTGAAGTATACAATCTACAGGGCATGTTTCTCTTTCCATGACAAGGAAAAGAAGGGAAAGTGGTATGGGTGGTAAAACAGGTAAGGCTAATACCAAGAAACCTTCCATTCCACAGATTTGTGTACCTATTCTTGTTTCTGGTCTTCCCTCGTGCCTCACTAATGCTGTTGCTGTAAGGAACAGTGCCCCTTGATAGAACTATGGTAGCACTGCCCATTTTGGTGGTATTTCTGTGGAAGCAACCATGTAAATTGAAGACCTGCAGTCTGTATAGATCAATGCATCTACATCAGATCCATTTTTGTTCAAAAATATTGCACATCTGTCCTTTAATTTATTTGCTAACATCATATGGACATCTAATACAAAATGAATGGATAATGATTAACAAAAAATTGTTTTTTTATGACATCTAATAATAATCTCTTCTGCTGCTGATCTTATCCTATCTTTTCCTACACATGGCTGCCTAAACCTTTGCGGTGAGGCGCTGTCCTACGAATTTTCAGAAGATTGCCTTGTTTTCATGAAAATCAAATTTAGTAGAAAATTATCAATGCCCAACCCAGTTGATGTTTGTTTCAACTTTTTTCCGCTTCTTTTGAACTGGAACACACAGAGGCTCATCCTAGGAAAGTTAACTACTCTAAATATGGACTTTTACTTGACAAGTTTGTTTTCTAGGAAAAAAAAATGTCTAAGTTGCTTATTTAATGTGACGTTTAGAGTGACTTTTATTAAAGAAAAACCTAGCAGGTTTACCAACAAATTGTTGGCCATAAGCAACTTGGTTTCCAAATAAATTTTTTATTAATATACATGATTCGAATTCTAAAATTACACTTATTAAAAGAAGTTAAACGCCTTCCGTTCATTGGTTCTCTTTCCAATATAAAATAGAGATACTTAAGTAAAAATATATATATATATATATATATGTAGGAGGTTTTTGTTCCCTTATCAGTACTAACTTGTTTTATGCTAACTGATTCTAATACTGATGTTTTCCACCTTTTACTGTCCCTCACAAGTAGTCCCAATGAAAACATAAGATCAATATAAAATTAATGATAGTTAACACATCCACTTAAATAAATAAAAAATTATGAATTAATACACACAAATATAAAAAATAAGATTTTACACACTTAAATACAAAAATTAAAAAATTTACACACTAAAATATGTAATAATCTCATAAAAGTATAGGTAAATTATTTTCTGGTTTCTCTACGATACTCATACTGTGGTTTTCCTCGATTCTCTTCCTTACCTGTCTCTTTCTTCACCTAATTCTGTGCTTCTATATTCTAAGTTCAATCTCTGATACTTTAGGCAAAATTAAACTTCGTTTTGTATATTTTAAAAATCTATACTATAGTTCTTGTGTGTCTATTTGAATCTGAAATTTGACTCACTATAACCTCAAACTTAAATCACTCTGCCAAGGATCCTAGTTTCAGATTCACATAAACATGACTTTCAAGTAGGTTCTATGAGGAAAGAACAAAACATTTTAGATAAAAGTTAAACCTTTATTTCTATATCCTGCTGAGAAATCATGGTGTTCTTATGTTCATCATATATGGAGTAGAAGGAATACAAGGTTGCATCAAAGAGATTTCAGGCATGCTGGCAGTGTTGTCCATTCCATTTACTCTGGGGTTCGAAGATTGTTGATGCTGAGTGTTTGAATAACAAATATCTATCACCAAACTATTTGCAGGAACTCGAGGGTTTGATATGACATGATAATAGTGTATTGAATTATGTAATCAGTTGTTGTTTTCTATTTGCTGCAAGTATTCTGAAATTTCAAATATTTACATTCTTCAAAAGAAGAAATAGATCACACAAGATAATCTGAAATTGACAAGTAATGTAAAAGCTAACTACTAGCATCAATATCCACATAAGCACAAAAGAAAGAATTACCTGAATGAAAAACGAAGGCTGTAAAAAAGATTGCGTGGGAGAGTTTGTGTTACTCTTCAGCATCAACTCTTGATAGCCATTACAATGCAATCCATATACCTGTAATAAATCTCTGGCATTGTTCCAAATAAAAAATTTAAATAGAACCCATAACTAACATAAAAAAAGAAGCCAGAAGTACTGTTACTAACTTGCTACAGTGAAATGCACAATCATGTAGTTTATCAGAAGGAATCTTTGCTTACGAGCTGCTTAATACAACAAAAATGGTGAACATGATAGAAAATATTGCAAACAAACCAAAGTATAGTTTAAATAACTGGAAAATTATACTTCTTACAACGAAACCACTGGAAATACCTACAAAGGTTAAAGCAGCTTAAAAGAACAAATTAAAGTGGAATTTTGATACTTGACAACTAAATTTTATGAGAATTGAACACGGCAGGATAACATAGCCCTCACATTTTAGCTCCGTGATTATGGTGGCGAAATGAGCCGTAAACGGTGGAGGAGAGAGGTCCCTGAGTTGGAGATTGCTTCCTCGACGTTTTGCAGGTGAACGACAACTCTGTGAAAAACTAAGAATATTGAGGTTTGTTATCTATTTTTAATTATTTATTTAAGAAACAATTATTTTTCCTTAACTATATAATTTATTTGGGCCATCGTCTTTTAAGGCCCATGCATGCTCCTTAATGAAGCTGAAAAAAGACCCATTTAAACAGAATTTAGATATCTACCTTAATAAAGGCGGTAATGCAACTTCAAGCTTACAACTCACAAAACCAAAACCATGGGCAATTTTCTGACAAACACAACAACAAAAACCTCTTGCACTAAAACCGGCTGCTGCGTTCTCACCTCTCTCTCTCTCTCTCTCTCTTTCTGTCTTTATATTTATAACATACCTGCAATAGGCGCTGAATTGCACTCAAATGATTCTGGGTACTAAAGGAGTTGCTTTGCAGAACCTGATGTCATGATGGTACGTTTCAGCTTCAATCTTTCAGTTCAAAATATTTACTAAAAAAAGAAATTGAGTTTTTAGCTAGTGTCGCGAATTGGTTGCTACGGGTGTTGGATTTTGTGTCACCCACATCCCGTAGTAATGGTTGTTTTCAATTCTTTTGGACAATTTACTTTATTCTTTTTTTAATTTAAGTAAATTCATTATTTATCAAATAAATTATCGTACTTTTCTTTTTCCTTTCGACTAACTTTTGTAATTTATTAGTATCCTTCATCATCTGATTAGCATGTGATGGTTTGTATAAGTCAGAGTAAGGTATTTTTGTCATAAAATTAGGTCACGAAAGTAGTTTTAAATAACTGTCCTTAGATAACCTGATAACTGTTATTTAACTGAATCAGAGCACCCAGATACTGGTATCTGGTGTTATAGTATCAGAAGCCAGAGACTGCTGACCTTCGTTGAACAAGGACCAACAACAACCAAACAAGAGCTATCCAAAAAACGCAATTAGATTAGCCCAATAAGAGAACTGATTAACAACAAGAAGTTGGGCATAAGGATTATTTTGGGAGCAGAAGGAAATGAGCCGAGGATACCAGAGATTACTAAGCAATTTGCGAGCTTAGCGAGCCATCTTTTCTTCCACTATCTTTCCGAAACGTTCGGCCATGGAAGGACTTAGATAATTGCACCAATCTCCCACCTTTGCTTTCCTAAAGAAAGTACTGTTTGGAGCTCCAGCACATTCAAAGACACCAGTTTTATTCACCTCCAAATCCTTGAGATTATCAAAGCTGCACAGCTTTGATATTTCTTCAATCACCCCTTCTTTCTCTTCTTTCTCAGAGAAAGGGAGTCCCAAGAACTCTCCCAGTTTCTTCAAGTTAGAGGATATATCCTCTTTCAAATCTTCATATTTCAAAAACAGCACCTTGTCTGGCCTTTCTATGCTTGCTTTCCAATACCCCAACACACTATCCCAAAAGGGTCCATAACACTGGATACCACTACAAACGTTATCGAAACCTTCATCAATTGATGATAAAGGCTCCATATTCTCTCTTTCGAACTTGCGAGCAAAATGAAAATATGAGACAAGTTGATCCAAAGGGTTCCTGCATATATAAACAATCTTGCAATTAGAATCTCTAATGGACAGCGGCAAAGTTTCATAATGGAAGTGAGAACTGAAAATTCTTGGGGAAGGAAGTTTTTCAATATCTGGGAGCTGGATTTTTGAGTAAAGATCCATCTCACAGAAGCGCACGAGTTCATGAGGTGGGGTAGTAAGCAAGGGACTCTCTTTTGGACTGTAAATGTTGCGGTTTACAACAGAGAACGTGAGAGCTTTCAACCAAGTCGTGCCTGATTTTGGCATGCTTGCTAGTATTATATCTGTATCTTGTGCAATGAAATGTTGTTGAAAGGAAAGAGCTCCTCTAATGGCAAAAACAGGATACCAGACCCCTTTGTAGAAATAAAGGGGAGCTCCATCCCAATCTTTCTCACTGGGAAGGGTTGCAAGCAAATCTTGGAGATCATTTTTTGGCTTGCTTTCTCGGTTTGAAGAGATCATTTTGGCCGTCTCCATGAAAATAACAAAAGAGAAACGCTGACAAACAAGTGAATTACAAAATATAAGAAAAAGTACCAAAAGAAAGATAAAAAAGGGAAGACCTTGCAGAATGAAGTTTATTGTGAAGATCTGTCTATATGTATAGGGTGCATGTCGGTGTGTGAAAGTCCGGAAATTAATTATTACATGAATAAATGGGATTCATACATAGGTTATAAAAATATCAAAATTGCTTGACGAAAAAATATCATTTTAAAAAATAGGAAGTTTTTAAAAATAAACTTAAAAAATAAAAAAGTTAAATGATATAATACTCTTGAAACAAAATATCTAACGTTTTTTCTTTCCTTGTATCCCTTTTAAAAAAATATCACCTTAAAAAATTATAGTGAATTTTTTTTTTTTACAACAATGATATCATGCAGCACTACTCTAAAAATATTGCATGATTGATTGGTGTAAAATAGATCTAATATTATTAGTGGTTTGTGAATCCTTGAACTTGTTTCACTCCAACTTTTTTTTTTTTTTTAGCTTTTACATGTATATATATTTAATTTGTCTCTAAAATTAATTAAGTAGTCTTCTAGCCGCTTTTCATGTTCTATTTAAAAATATGTTTATAAATGATTTTTTTTTTATAATCCTATATTGTAGAGCATAATTGAAGAAAAATTATAATTTTATTAGTTTTCTTTATATATATTGAAATATTTTTTATTTTTTACAAAATTAATTTTCAAGCTTATAAAGAAAACCTTTATGACATCATTCGTAGAAAGAGGATGTATTATTAATGAATTAAATAAATATCTTTTATGTTTTTTTAGGTACATACGCGTACCTAGCTATATGAGAAATAAAATTAACCTTACTATTATGCTTCGGCTTCTCCAATAAAATATTCCTAGCTTCGCCACTGATAATTACGTGTACCTAGCTATATGAGAAACCTGCAATAATTATATACGTAGTAAGTAGTAACCTTATTAAAAAGATAGGAAAAATAAAAAACGTAAAAAGAAACATTAAATATTTTGATAAAAATTGTCTTCGGTCTGTATAAATAATTATGAATTCCAGCATTAATGAAAATTCTATAAACCTGGATTTCTTTTTATTACATTATTGTCGGGATTTTCTGTAGTAGAACAATCAATGATCCACAATCTTCATAAATTTATCGTTTTTTTTATCACTATTTTTGAATTTTGATGCTCTTAATTTCCATTTGTTGGATTTTTTAGGCATTAATTTTTTGAAAATTTATAATCAAAATAATGTGTCACTAACGTAGTATATAAGTTACTTATATAGAGGTTATTTTTTAGCCTTTTGAATTCTAGCAACAGATGTAATTGAATTGACTTTTTAAGTTACAAGGTAGCATTCTGATCATATATGCTAATAAAGAGAATTGATGCTATAGTTGCCCAAGTAATTAAAAGTACTAATTAAGGACTTTCTCCCAAGAAAGGGTTGGGATAAAGCTAGGAAACATTATTATATAACTACATATGTACACAACACATACTTCTGACATCATTACATATATAAGACATTAATGCTGGTAGGTGATCACGTAGAATTATCACATAAAAAGTAGTAGTTGATGCTTAACGATCACTTCATCAAACAAATTAAAGTAGAAAAAAGCTAAGTTGGATGTGATTTTAACGTTTTGTTTATAAATGACCATAAAATGTGAAATGTATTAGCTGTTCGCGTGATGAATTCTTTACATCCATGAGATACGAAATCTGAAAAATAGTATTACTAAAAAAAATTAAAAGATCTGAGATTGTTATTATTTATTTACGGTATTTTTTTTTTTACCTTACTTACTTGAGTTGACTGGCCTTGGCTGCCTAGTCGCACCTGGCTTTTTATTATTATTATTATTATTTTTATAATAGCCCCTTTTTTAAATTTTTAACCTGTGTTGAAAGCACCAACATATTTCACATGTCTGGTCCTATTGACAGGGATACTGATCGTGGTATCAGCATTTTAGAAAAAGTCTAATGCTGTCAAAATCCCACGTGGTACATTAATGTGCCTAATCATGCCAACTACCAGGAGAGACACATGGAGCTTGGAGACTGCCTACACGTTTTCTTTGAGTGTTGATTCATCGTTTGTAAGACTTGAAGGGAAAGACAACACCAAAACTTGGTAATCCTAGACGAGATTTTAGCAATAATTAGCATGGTCTGTATTACTTTAATTAACTTAATTATCAAATTAATTTTTTGTTATAATTTTATTTGTTAATAAATTTAATTTTTTAATATATGAATTTTGAAATAAAATTTTAGGACGTCGGTGTTTTATTTTTTAAAAGTATATTATTATAATTTATAAATTCGATTATATATATATAGAGAGAGAGAGAGTTGAGAGTACATTTTAGATAGTTTGGCTTAATTTAAAAAAAAAAATCATAAATTTTACTTGTTTTTATATATATATATATTTATTCCAAATTTATCGAATCAATTTTGTTATAGTTTTTATTTTAATCTATTGACTTTAATATATTTTATACAATTTAACGACTTTGGCCTTTTTTTTTCTTCACACACACACACACACATATAGAGAGAGACAAAAAAAAAAGCTAAAAATATGTTTTAGATAGTTTGGCTCAATTTTCTTAAAAAAATTAATAATCAATTAAAAAATCACAAATTTTATTTGCTTTTTTATATATATTTATTTGGAATTTAGCATAATCAACTTTATTGTAGTTTTTATTTTAATCTATTGACTTCAATATATTTCATAAAGTTTATGTTGATTTTTTTGTATATTTTTCTATGTATTTTATATGCTCTGTTTTTTTATATATATTTATTCAAAATTTATCGGAACTAATTTTGTTATAGTTTTTATTTTAATCTATTGACTTCAATATATTTCATACAATTTAGGTGAATTTTTTTTGTATATTTATTTATTTATTTTATATATTTTGAATCTGTTTTATATATATATATATATATTAGTTTTATTAAAAATTAACTATATATACGCACATATAATATCAATTATTTATTATTTATTTTTTTGTATTCTAAATTTTTTTAAATAAAATAAGTTAGATAATATTTTGAAAGAACCTTCTAATGATTCAAATACAAATTTTTATGCTAATATTATTAAATATTTTGTTAATAAATATATATAAATCAAACGATTTCGCTAAATATATAGATTTGATTTACATTAATCACTAGAAATAAAACTTCCATTCGCATTACACCATATGAATTGTTAACTCTACATATGTAACGGTTGTTTGACTATAACGTAATGCAGGTATTTAACTAGTTATTATACAAAATAAGTGATGTTTTTGATAATCATAAAATATGAAATGTATATTCCCAATTAGGTGATGTCAATATATAAATTACACCAGAGTTGTAAATGATGTGGATGTGTTTTTGAATTTTTTGTATATGATCATAAATTATGATATTATATTCTCTATTCATATGATGTTTGCTTAGATAAAGACTAGTGTGGGTGCCTTGATTTTGCTTGGAAAAATTTTTAGCATAGTATAGCGAGTATATTTGTGTTTCATTGTGATAATTTTTTTATTGGGTATAATTTTTTATCCGGTGTGAGTTCTTTTTTATCTATTGTTATTTTTTATTTGGTATTATAAAATTTATGAATATTATTGTATGTTAAAGTTTAACATAGTGTAAAAATTTTAATTATTAACTAAGAAGCATATGTAGGTTGAGCTTTAAAATGAGCGAAAAGTTATAATTATGCACTAAGAAACATAAATAGCACTGATTTGTAACTATAAAAATTTTAATTATTGACTAAAACACATAGACATATTTGTTTCTAGCATAAAAACGTATAAATAGGTACCACTTTTCAACTCAATTTTTCTTTCTTTTTTTTTTCTTCTTATTTTTTTTGAATTGGACTAGGCTAAGATTAGCCTAATCTAACCACACATGGGTTGGGCTTAGCCCAATGCATTTCAATTTTAGTTGGACCAAAGCCCACAAACACCAATTAAACCTCCTTTTTCTTTTTTCTTTTTTGGGATCAAACCTTCTCTTTCTTTTTGCTTCTTCATCTCACCTTATTTCTCTCTCTCTCTCTCTCTCTCTCTCTCTTCTTCTTCTTCTTCTTCTTCTTCTTTCTCTTTCGTCCAATTCTTCAAATAAAGTCCCTAGTTCGAGCTTTCTCTCTCCCATTCCTTCCCTCACTTTCTCATTATCTTCCTCTCCTCTTCTCTTCCTTCCTTACGCCTCATCTTGTCTTCTCGCTTTCATCTATCTCGCTCAATCTCCATGGAAGAACGAACCAAAGGTCATCTCCGGTTCGCTCTCTCTCCTCTAATCCTTCTTCAACCTTTCACTCCTTTTATTGATTTTCCATCGGAATCAAAGACCTCTTATTCAATCCTTTATCCAAAATTGATTGAACCCTAGGTTTCAATTTTTTTTCAATTAGCCTTAATTGCCTTGATTTCTTCGAGATGAAGCTAATTCAAGCTCGTTAGAACCTAATTTCTTAAAAACCCTTAAATTTTATTATCGTTAAAAAATCCAAAAACCCTAGGTTTCAATCTAGTTCAATTCAGCCTAAATTTAGGGTTTAATCCCTAAATTGACAACCTAAATATCTTTAATTAGCTTTTTTTTCAATCATTGAAACTTAATTTCAATCCAAACTCAAAAATCCCAATACATTTCAATTTTAGTTGGACCCAAGCCCATAAACACCAATTAAATCTCCCTTTTCCTTTCTTTTTTTTTTTTTGGATCAAACCTTCTCTTTCTTTTTTGCTTCTTCCTCTCACCTAATTTCTCTCTCTCTTCCCCTTCTCTCGTTTTCTTCTTCCTTTTCCTGTCTAGTTCTTCAAAAGAAAGTCTCCGGTTTGAGCTTTCTCTCTCTCCTTCCTTCATTTCCTCACTTTCTCGCTATCTTCTTCTCCTCTTCTCTTCCTTCCTTCGCCTCATCTTGTATTCCGCTTCCTT